TCCGAATTACTTTGCCAAATTGAGTTTTGATCTCCGAATAGAAACTTTGAAAAATATTGAATAACTCAACATGATTTTTCATTAAAAATATCCAAGTACATCTAGAAAAATCATCAATAAAGGTGACGTAATACCTATGCCCTAAAAGAGAAGGAACCTGACTAGGGCCCCAAACATTAGAATGAATGATATCAAAAGAAGACACAGCTTGACTATTAATACTATTAGGAAAAGAAGTTCTAACATGCTTCCCTAATTGTCACGACTCATACTCTAAGGATTCCAGGCGTGAGAGATGAGGTACCATTTTCTTTAATTTATTCAAGCTTGGATGACCTAGGCGACGATAAATAAAACAAGGAGACTCAACAGATGCACAGATGGTAGAGGTAGAAGGTTGAAGGTAGCAGAGACCATGTGATTCAGATCCACCTCCAATCGTCTGTCCCGTACTCTGGTCCTGTATCAAGGAAGAATCAGAAGTGAAGCTTATGGCACAATTTAGTGACCGAGTCAACTTACTTATAGAAATCAAATTAAAGGGACATCCAGGAACTAGTAAAACACATTTTAATGGTAGTGAAGGGATACGTGATATTTGGCCAATACTAGTGGCTTGGACTTTTGACCCATTTGCAAGAGTGATATGATGTGGAGTTTTAGGTGATGATAGGCTAGGAAAAAGGGAGACATTACCAGTTAGGTGATCAGAAGCACCAGAATCCAAAACCCAAGGTCCAATAGATGTAGAATGAGAGAGATAGACGGTTGAATTACCCGTGTGAGCAACAGTGACAGAGGAAGAGGCTTGTTGTGCTGCCTTCAGTTGAAGATACTCTTTGTAATTATCGGTAGATAATGAGATTGGATGATTTTCCTCAGATTCAATCTTGAGCTCTAGAGCTGAAGTTGGAGATTGAGCCACATTAGCTATCTTGCTCGGAAAGCCATGCAAGGAATAACACCTGTCTCGTGTATGTCCATCTCTCTGACAGTAGGTACAATGGAGGTTTTCTCTACCCCTTTACCACGACCACGACCTCGACCGCGCCCTCGACTTTCACGGTCAGCTGTACTAGAGATAAAAGCAGAGGACTCAGATTCTGTGTTAGGATCTGCCTCTGGTGAAGGGACCCAAATCAATCGATCTATGAGTTCTTCTACTGTAGGAATGACAGGATTTGTCAAGATTTGATCTCGGATAGATCCGTAATCTTTGTGAAGTCCTTGAAGGATAAACACCATAAACATATTATCAAGTTTGTTGAATATTTGTTGAGGATCATCACTAACCAACATTAGCTTGAGCTTATCAATAGTGGATTAAGCACGATTCAAATATGTCAGCAAATCATTATCAACACGAAGGGTTGCAAGACCATAACACACTCATATAATCTTTGGATGTCATTGGCATAGACATTCTGAGCCTTCTTCCAAATATCATAGCATGTCTTGTATGGACGAAAATGCACCATTAATTTAGTCTCAATGGACTGCCACAATAGAGATACAAGTTGATAATCTACCTGTTTCCATTCATCTTTCACCTCTTTATCAACTTCGGACGCCCTTTTAGTAAGATGATCATAGAGACCCTGACCTAAAAATCACATTTCAACTGCAGTGGACCAATCCAAATAATTTTTACCATTATGCTTTTCAGATGTAATAGTAGGTGATCCAGAAAAGGCAAACGAGACCAACCCCCTTTTGGAAGATTCAATTTTTGGATTCTCCTTAGGAATCTCTACCATGAAGAGAAAAAGGAGGGAAAAATAAAAACTCAATAAAAACCACAGAAACAGCAAACAATCAACCACGGAACATCGAGGTAGCAACCAAACGACCACGGAACTCTGAGACAACAACCAAACAACCACGGAACTCCGAGACAGCAACCAAACAACCACGAAGCTCCGGAACAGCAACCAAACGACCACGGAACTTCGAGGCAGCAACCAAACGACCACGAAACTCAAAGGCCGCAACCAAACGACCACCAACAGACCACCTAGAGTGTGACCCACAACCTGAAAAGGGGCAAAACGAGAAGAGGGAGGGCCGGCGAGTCCAACGGAGTGAACCGCGTCGCAAACGGAGGCCTGGAGGGCGGCGCGTGAACCCCATGCGCCGGCGAGCTTCCTCAACAAGAACCGCGCGTGAGAGAGCGTGAGACAGCGGATGACAGTGGCTTGCGACGGAGAGGTCGATCGGCGACCTCTTAATGTTCAGGCGGTGTCAACTCCGGCAATCGCGGACAAAACTTGAAAACCCTAGATGTTGGCGGCTGGATTAGGGTTCCTGGACCAGAGTGCTCTAGTACCAACTTGAATATGAATAATTTCTTATTATTCTGAATTGATGGGTACAATCAAATAAATAGACAATTAACAGAAACAATCCCTAAAGTTTAGGGATTAAGATAAACTATAAATTAGGAAAAGATAAACTAATATATCTAAACTATATCTTAGAATATCTTAACAGAAACAAAGTACAGACCATTGTGTTCCTTAGCACTGCCAATCATCATCCCCGAAGACCAATCCTGAAAAATACAGTGAGTAGGGTAAAAAATTATTGCACAATTTAGATCTTTAGTCAATTTACTGGCAAATATGAGATTGTATTTTAATTCAGGAACATAAAGGACAGATTTTAGTTTTAGTCCTGATAGGTTTAAGTCACCAGTACCAGCTACCATCGATGAATTACCGTCAACTACTGTAATAGTGACACCTTTATCAGCTTTCTTGTATGACGTAAAGTCAGCAAATGACCCTTTCATATGGTCAGTAGCTTCAGAATCTAGGACCCATTCTCCTGTATTTTCCTGTCTAGACATGAAAGAAAACTGACTATTACCTTTTTTGAGCAATGTTTGCAGTAGAGTTTGCTAGTGCAGAAGCTTTAGGTTTGAGTTGAGAGAGTAGGTTCTTTAGCATACCCATTTGCTCATCAGAAAAAATAGCAGAACATTGCTTCTTTAAATCTGTAGAAGATTCAACAACATTAACAGAGGCAGCAGCTTTGCGCTGACTTCTAGGTTTCCAATCTGCAGGTTTTCCATGAATGAGCCAGCATGTCTCCTTTGTGTGGTAAGGTCTTTGGCAATGATCACACCATGTCTTGGCCTCTTTAGGACGGATAGTCTATAGATCATTTTTCCGAGATACAAGAGCTGAGTTTAGATGAGGATCCTCAATTGTAGGATTGTTTTGCAGCATCACTTTCCTCCTACTTTCTTCTCTTCTAACCATGGCAAAGGCTTCCTTGAGAGATGGTAGTGGTTTGAGGCCAAAGATCCGCCCCCTAACTTCATCTAATTCTTTTGTTAGTCCCTATAGGAAATCAAATACCCTCTCTTTTTCCAGCATTTGGTCATACAACAATTTATCCTCAGAACATTTCAATGAAACAGTATAGAACAAGTCCATTTCTTGCCATAACTCTACCAACATATTAAAATACTCGGTTACAAATTTGTTACCTTGTTGAGTATTATGCAAAACTGACCTTATTTCAAAGCATTGGGCAGAGTGTTGGAGGTCTGAGTACATCTCCTGAACAATGGTCCATATTTCATGGGCAGTTTTGCAGAAAAGATAAGTTCTGTCAATTTTAAGTTCCATTGACTTTATCAACCAAGCCATGACAATGGAGTTCTCTGCATCCCAGTTACTGTTGGAAGGATTAGTCATTGGTGGAGCTGCAAAAGTCTCTGTAAGATAGCCCATTTTTCCTCTCCCTTTGATGACAAGAAGGACCGACTGGTACCATTCTTGGAAGTTTAACCCATTTAATTTGTGTTGGGTTATTTGAATTGAGGGGTTTAGGTCATAGGTTGGAAGGATGAAGCCATATGGGCTGGGTTGTTTAGATTTCTATTGGAAGGCGAAATATTTTCTGGTGTGGATGGTTGTGTGGGTGGTGCAACAGCCATGAAACTGTATTTAGTTTTCATCTAGGATGAAGAACAGTTGGCTCTGATACCATATTATTAGAAGCGGAAGAAATCATTCTTCTTATTTTATTCAAATGATTGGTCTAGTATATAAATAGGTAAAACAGGGAAGTAAAAAAGGAAACAAATAATAGGCAATTCCTATAATTAGATAGGAAGCCCTATAAATCAGTAATAACAATAAAAGATAAATTATAGATCCTAATCCTTGAAATTCTGCAACATAATAATATCCCATAAATTTTGGGATTCCTATCCAACAGAACTTGTAGGGAGTATTTGTGCTTACGAATTTTTTATCTACCCCTAAACAAAAAGGTAGAAAAAAAGAATGAAGTGAGGAAATTGTTGGTGAATACACTGCCATAGCAAGAACCACTAGAATTGTATTAGTCATGGAAAAGAGTAAAGTGAACAATTGGAATCTTGGAGAATGAAAAGGTTTTTTTTCATCTACCACAAGCTTTTCACCTTGGTGACAAGGTGAATGTTTAAAGAGGAAGGTGGGGGGGGGTGTATTATTACATAATCCATAGAGATAGTTAGTGGAATAATTTAGTTAGGGCATGAGATAATTAGGAAAAGAAGCTCGTGATTAAGCATATATCTATTAGAATAAAAGGGAATGGGCATGCAATTTGTTAGGCCCATTTAAGGTAGTTTTCTGTTATAAACGATAAGTCACTAACTACCTATGGAAAGGGGGACAACTGTCATGTTACAGGGACTTTAGGAGAATTGGAAAGTTGTGAGGAGTGGATCCAAACCTCTCTGAAACCTCTAGAGCATTTATCTCCCATGCAGAGTTCTTGGCTTGGCACAAAACAGTAACTAGCTCAAAATTGGTTTTTTCTTCATCCAAACCTTTTAAATGGAATAGTCCACCAAAGCATAGTTTGAAAAATGAAACAATTGAGGTTCAAAAACCAGTTTGAATAATTTGGCTTTTTAAAAAAGGATTAGATTTGTTATTGGTTTGATTTGTCTAAACTGGTTTTTCTGAACACCCCTACATAATGAAACTTCTGGGCAGGTTAGATGAACGGAAGCGCAGAAAGATATTTATACTCGAAAGAGATTTACTTTATCCTGATCCTTTTGAGAAATCTCTCTTGCCTGAAGAGCTTCAAATATGTCAGCGTTACAAGGTCTTCACACGGTTTCACTCAAAACAAGAGCATCTGGATTTGCTAAAAACTATTATTGAAGAACACAGGCTGGTCAAAAGAATACAAGATTTACAGGTATTACATTCTTCTACACATTTTGATGATGTAACTTGCTTTATCTAGATATATTGTAGCTATTTTCTAAAGATTATAAAGAGTTGCGGTATACTCTTAAAATAAATTTGAAAGTGTTGAAATACAGAGAGATAGAGAGAGAGAGAGAATAGAGACACGATAAGTGAATCTGTTTATCTCAACTACACAACGGAGATTTATTTATACAAGCACATAATATTCAATATGCCTGATTAGGGGATATTTTGTTTCCCTTAGATTATTATTTACTTTCCTATAAATCACTATACAATAAATGGAGAGTATTCATTCTGATTCTCAACACTCCCCTCAAGCTGGAGCATATAAATTATATCCACCAAACTTGTTATGCATATCACTAATTCTTAGACCTCTCAAGAGTTTGGTGAAGACATTTGCAAATTAATCGCTAGAGAAAGTTAGTAGTTATATCTACTAACTTGGTCTTCTACATGATGATGTGGCAATTTACGTCAATGTGTTTGGTCCTCTGCTGTAAATGGTAAAGATATTTTTCAGTAAATGGGGAAGATATTTTGTGGAGTATATTTCGGGGTCATAGATATCTCATGATATACTATTTATTTCCCATATCCATTTTCCCTCTCAGTTTCCCCTTTTTAGCATTGTCCTTTAGCTTTAATAGGGAGATTAGAGAATGTATTGAACAGAATTAATGTACAATTATTATTTCGATTATGGTATTAGAGCTGCCAATCCTGGGAGCTTTGCATTTCTGCTGTTGTCAGCTGTCACTGTAGCTGCCTTTGGGATCAGTGGTCAGACCAGGATGAGTGCCTCTCCATTGCCAATCGGATGTCTAAATTTCAGGGCAGATCTCCGGCCCACATGCCACCATGCAACCCACTCGTCGACGACATGACAAAAAGGGCCACTACGTTGTCAAGTTTGACTTCTTGGGCCAAGAGAAGTGCTCCTAATTCAGCAAGAATGAAAGGCTCCAAACGACTATTAAAAAGATTAATCAGAGAATCATACCCTTCGGGTAACCCTTCAACAATGGCATCAAGTTGTTCTTAAGAGGAGACTCGGTCTCTAATGGAGCATAAAGAATTAACAATTGCTTTGATTTTGAGGATGAATTCAAAGATGGAGTAATCTTCTGTCTTATTATTTCGCTATGGCATTCTGAGTATTCTTGCTCTTGACAAGTTAGACCAAGGTTACCAACGAAGAACACAACTAATGATACATAACAAAATTGGTGTAGTAATAGGCAATTATAGTCTTGAAAGCTGGAGAGAATCTTGCTACTCCCATTGTGCATACACAAAATACTCCCATTGTGCATACACAAAATTTAGTTTGCCTTCTTTGTGATCTACTTCTATGAGAAATCATGGCGAAATGGAAGGATTCACAAGAAATTGAGGAAGCTGATGTCCCTTGATTTTTTGATTTTTCATTTTCAAAGAACAAAATTGTTCTCTATTTTATGAAATTGTAAGAGAAGGTGGTGGGTGCATTAGATACAGAAATGGTGGGTACAGATTAGGTTAGCGCCAACTGGTGGCTGTGGAAAAATTTTCGTCAAAAGCTATGGAAGAACATTAAGTTCTTGATACCATGTAAAACTTCATGGTGAAGCTAAATAGATTTGATAGAAAGTAAACTGTATTATTATTCATCTAACTTTTGATACAAAAATCGAAGGAATATAAAGGAAGAGATACAATTGTTCAGTTGCAACTGAACTCTAATAGAAAAATAACAAACTAACTAACAAGAGAAAAGATACAATACGTCTGTGCTCATAGTAAGAGCCTGTGCACCCACTCTAATAGACACAATTATCATACTATAATACTTAGGGAATCCACTAAACCAACTTGTAAAGTAATTAAGGTCTAAACTTTATAAGGACTACATTGGTCATATCTATAGCGAATAGGTCTCAATAGATTGTAGTAGTATGTCGTCTCAAACATGGTTTAGATTGGGGTACAATGTGGCCATGCAAGTGTACTCTTGCCCAAAGGGAAAGCTTGTTATAGTTTGAAGATGGAAAATTATGCGAGAGAAAGTAGATATGAGGAACAGGTTACAATTGTAGCAAAAAGATATGATGCTAATTATTGGAGATCCCGCATCGATTAGAGATGATACCATAATAGTGTAAATAAGTAAGGAACAATCCTCACTTTACAAACCAGTTTTGTAAGGTTGAATTAAGTCCCAAATCACTTTCTTAAAATGATATTAGAGCTTCCAAAATCTGGGAGGTTCTAACTGCTCAACTCAAACCCTAGACAACAGCCTTCATTGCTGTGGCAAATCCTAGACGGTAGCCTCCATTGCTGCTACAAACCCTAGAAGGCAGCTGCCACTGCTCTGTTGCTAACCTTAGATGGTTTCCTTTATTGTTGCTGCAAATCCTTGTGCCTTCATTGCACAAGGACTATGTTGCTGCTGCACAATTTCTTATTTTCTTTATCTAGTGCCTTCATCGCACAATTTGCCATGGCTCAAATAGAGGATAATAAATCCCAAAACTTCTAAAGAAAGAGAGGAGAATATGTCCAACTCAATCTGGACGAGAGAAAAAGAGTAAGATCCTTTTTTAGTAGACCTAAGAAACCAACAGGTACTTGTTCTTTGGGCTACTCAAGTAAGTTTCCATTTTCTTTTAAACTCAATGTCTTAGATACACCCTTTAACCAACATTACTGCTAGATTCTAGAGCCACTGACCACATGACACCCTTACATAAAATATTCTCCACATATCAACCATGTCCTAACAACATGAAAATTTTCACAACTGATGGAACTCTCATAACTGCAGCTGGACAAGGAGATGTCCAAACAAGCCTGTTAATAAACTTGAAAAATGTTCTCCATATTCCCAAATTGTCCACCAACCTAATATCCATGCAAAAGCTTACAAAGGATCTATCAAGGGATGTTGTTTTTCATTACAATGCTTGTATGTTGCAGGATAAGAACTCGAAGAGGACGATTGGACATGCTAGAGAATGGAATGGTCTTTATTACATGGAAGACTTAAATTTGCCTGACAAAAGCCACTCCATATCTAATCGGTGATGACCAATTGGCAAAATGTTTTGCTATATCATTGTTGCTTAGGACATCTGTCCTTTTAAGTTATAAAAATGTTATTTCCTTTCTATTTTGAAAAATTAGATGTGGAGTATTCATTGGGAGTTGTGTGAGCTCATTAAGCTCAAGCGTCTACCTTTTTCAATTAGCAATAAAATAAGCATTTCTTCCTTTGACCTGATTCATATTGGTGTGTGGGACCCCTCTAATGTTCCAAATGTATTAGGTGCTCAATGGTTTGTTACCTTTATAGATGATTGTACTTGGGTTACTTGAGTTTTCTTACTTAAACAAAAATTAGAAGTTAGCTCTATTTTCGTACGCATTTTTTCTCAATGATAAAAAACCAATTTAGAGCTAATATCAAGCAACTTAGGTCAGACAATGCTAAAAGATTACTTCAATCACGTGCTTAATTCCTTTTGTCAAAAGGAAGTTATAATTCACAAGTCTTTGTCAAAAAACCTTAGCAACATGTCATTGTGGATAGAGAAAATGGTCATCTATTAGATCAAACTTGGGCTCTTCTCTTTCAAAACTGTGTTCCTAAAATTTTTTGGGAGGAAGCCATACTCACTGCCACTCACCTTATTTAATAGATTTCCCTCTAGGATTGTAGCTTCAAAAAGTCCTACCAAAGTCCTATCCTTCTTTTTCAGACCTGACCATTACAAATATCCTTATACCTAGAATATTTGGGTGTGTCCTTTGTTCATGTCCATAGTACTGATCGGGGAAAACTTGATCCTAGGGCCTTAAAATGTGTTTTTGTAGGGTACTCATCCACACAAAAATGGAATAAATGCTATTACCCACCGTCCCAAATTTCTGTGTCAAGGGATGTCACTTTCCACGAGCACGAAAGTCATTTCAGCCAACCTCATCTTCAAGAAGTTTAAGGGAGGCTCATGAGCACCTTATTTTTCCAAACATGACATTTGGATTGAAGCTAGAATTGAACCTGAAAATGGAGATAAAAAATCTCCCTTAAACTTTTTTCTGGGGTACAAGATGGTCATGCAAGTGTACTCTTGCCCAAAAGGAAAGCAAGTGTACAAGGTGGACAGCTACTGCCATAGCACGATATTTAGCTTCCATAGTGGATCTAGCAATTGTAGTTTGTTTCTTGCTTCTCCATGAAATTAGGTTGCCTCCAATTAGAACACAATAGCCAGAGGGTAAACCTTCTGTCTAATGGTGATCTTGTCCAATCAGCATCTGAATAACAGACAATTTTGGAATTGCCTTTGTCCTCCTATAGTAGTCCTCAGCCCGGTGCCTTCTTGATATATCTGAGGATCCGTATTACTGCAGTCTAATGACTATCACGAGGATCGTTAATGAATTGGCTTACCACACTTACTAGGAATGCGATGTCTGCCCTGGTGACAATAAGATAGTTAAGTCTGCCAACAAGTCTATGATATCTTTCTAGGTCATCCAATGGCTCCCCCTGACCCAGAAGAAGCTTGACGTTGGGATCCATTGGAGTATCACCAGGGCGGCAGTCAACCATACCAGTCTCGGTGAGAATGTCCAGAGCATATTTTCTTTGGGAAATTGCAATACCAGAAGTGGAGTGAGCAACCTCGATCCCCAAAAAATATCTAAGTGGACCAAGGGCTTTCATCTAAAATTGGCGTTGAAGGTGAGATTTGAGGCGGCAAATACCATCGGAGTCATCTCTAGTAATGACAATGTCATCAACATACACCACTAAATAAATACAAAGTCCAGATGAGGAGTGAAGGAAGAAAACAAAGTGGTTAGCCTCACAGCAAGTCATACCAAACTCAATCAAGGCGGAGCTGATGCGTCCAAACCAAGCACGAGGAGATTGCTTCAAGCCATAAAGAGAACGACAAAGACGACAAACAAGGTGAGTCACCAGAAGCAATAAAGCCAGGGGGCTGGTCCATATAAACCTCTTCTTGTAATTCACCATTTAAAAAGACATTTTTAATATCCAATTGGTGTAGCGGCCAATGACGAATTGCAGCCATAGCAAGAAGCAAGCGAACAGACGTCATGTTGGCGACAGGAGAGAAAGTATCCCCATAATCTAGACCATAGATTTGAGTATAGCCCTTTGCAACCAATCGCGCTTTAAAGCGGTCAATGCTACCATCCGGTGCAACTTTCACTATGTACATCGACAACCAACGATAGACTTGTCAGGTGGTAAAGGTACTAACTCCCACGTGCCACTAGTCTGCAAAGCATCCATTTCATCCAGCATCGCCTGTCTCCACCGAGAATCAGCCATAGCTTCACCTGTAGACTTGGGGAAGACACAGAATCCAAAGAGGAAATAAAAGAAAAGTAGGAAGGAGACAATCGATGACAAGAAAGAGCACAAGCATATAAAGGATGAGGATTGCGGGTAGATCGAATACCTTTATGAATGGCAATGGGTAACTCAGGCAAAGAATGTTCAAGTGCAGGAGGCGTTGTTAGATAGTCGGTTAGAGCAGAAGATGAAGCTGGGGGAGCTATATATGGAACCACCTGTGGATGTCTTGTCCTACGTTGATAGACAAGTAATGGTGGTGGATCAGTTACTACAGTCGGAGTTGAAGTTGGAATAGTAGGTTAATCATCCAAAGAAGTATTGATGGAGTATGGTTGAAGCAAGTGAAGGATTCTTGCTTCTTTTGACCTTCTCCGAATGTGAAGTCCTTTTCCTTGAGCTTGCCACGGTTCAAATGATGGAAGAAGATGATTGGAATGGTGGAAGAATCCCTAAGCTAAGGATGGAAGCATCCAAGCTAAAGATCCAAAGGAAAGCTCACTTTCAAGTCTAGGAATGGAGGTTTTCCTAGAACTAGAGTGGGTGAGGTTTCGGTGACTCTTGGAGAGAATTTGGCTGAAGTAAAATTTAGAATTCTCATTCATTCAAAAGTGAATACAAGTTATGAAGGATCATGCATATATAGGCTCAGCTAGGGAAGCATTTGGTGCTAAGATTCAAATACCACATGTGGCGCCAAGATTTGAGTTCAAATTTGAAATTTGAATTCAAATCTTCACTCCCATGTGAAAGTCCGTGAATCTAGGTGCTCTCATGCATCTTAATTTGATTTAGGAAGCATTTAGGGTTGATTTGGCTAAGCACATGTTCAGCCACAAGTGGCACCATCCATGTGATCCCAAATTCAACTTAAATGCCTTCTAAATTAAATCTAGTTTAGCCTAATGAACCTATTTAAGTAATCCCTCAATAATCCTAATCTAATGGCCTAAATACAATGGCCAAGCAAATACAATGGAAAGTAAAAATTACAAGAATGAAAATGAGCCCAATATTGGGTACCAAAAGCCCAAAGGCCCATGAAGCCCAAAACTAGGCCCAATAAGCCTATAGCCTAAAATGTTATCCTAGATGGTCCAAAATACAAGACCCAAAATATAGAAAACCTATACTAACATGATATATACAAGACATAAAGAAAATAGATAAAACAAGATATGGCCCATGAGAATCTCAACTTTGGCCTTCCAAGCCCATCGGGCCCATTGGGCCTTGACTGGCCCAAACCTTCCTGTCTAGCCCATTCTTCTTGGCTCTTTCAATGTGTCACCCCTTGCCTTCCTAGGGATGATTCCATCAAGTATGACTAGTAATATCCTCAGTAAAGAAAGGAGAGGATGACTCAAAGAAGGAAACGTCAGCGAAAACAATATAGCGTTGAAGTTGTGGACAAAAACAATGATACCCTTTCGGGAGTCGAGAATACCTAAGAAATATACACTTGAGAGACCTAGCAGAAAATTTATCTTTACCTGGGGTGAGATCATGGACAAAACATGTACATCCAAAGACACGAAGTGGAACAGGATAAAGATCATTTTGTTTATACAATATGGTTTATGTGATTTGATTGCTGATAACAGAGGAGGGCATGCGATTAATCAAGTAACAGGCAGTAAGAATCGCATCACCCCAGAATCAAAGTGGAACTTTATGATGAAGGAGAATAGTACGAGCTGTCTCAACCAAATGATGATTTTTGCGTTCAGCTACACCATTTTGTTGTAGTGTGTGGGCACAAGAGGTCTGATGAAGAATACCCTGGGAGGGAAAAAAAGACTAGAATTTGGAAGATAAATACTCTTTTGCATTATCAATGCATAAGATTTTAATAGATTGACTAAATTGAGAAGAAATTTCAATGAAAAAACTTTGAAAAATGTGAAAAATATCATAAAGGTGTTTCATTAAGAAAACCCAAGTACAACGCGAAAAATCATAAATAAAGGTAACAAAATAAGAATAATCTAAAGTTGAACAGACTCGACTGGATCCCCAAATATCAGAGTGAACCAGGGTAAATGGTGATGCAGCACATTTATTGACACTAGATTGGTAAGACTGACGGACATGTTTCCCTAATTGACATGACTCACACTGGATGTTTTTAATGGTAGAAAGGCTAGGAACTAAAAGTCGTAATTTCTCCAAACTGGGATGACCAAGACGCTGATGAGCAAGATCGGCAGAGGTGGAGACACGCGCAATCAATGGTGAGAGACGATACAATCCCCCAGACTCATGTCCTGCTCCAATTGTTTGTCCTGTACGCCGATCCTGAATAAGAACAGAATTATTAACAAACAACACAGAGAAATCAAGGGTACTGGTGAGTTTGCTAATGGAAATTAAATTAAAAGGACAACCAGGAACAAACAGAACAGAGTGCAAAGGGAGGTGAGGGAGTGGGTGTATTTGACCAATGCCATGAACTTTAATTTGAGAACCATCGGCAAGAGGTGGCAAGGAGTCGGAGAAAGACAATTTAGAGAAAAAAGATTGATTACCAGTCATATGATCAGGTGCACCGGAGTCAAGAATCCAAGGTCCAAGAGAAGGAGACTGGGACATAAAGGCTAATGGATTACCAGAGTGAGCCATGGTAGTGGCAGGCGAGGCAGATTGTTGGGCTGCTCGGAGTTGAAGGAGATCTTGTTAATCAGAGGCAGAAATAGTGATATCTGTAAGAGAGCAAAAGTCGGTAGAGGAGGTAGTGTTGGGCACATGAGCAACATTTGCTGATGATGACTGTTCTCGGGCCTTTTTGTGACAGTTAACTTCAATATGACCAAAGTAGCGGCAATAATTGCAATGACGATTCTGTTTTCCACGACCTTCATTACGTCCACTACCACGATCAGATGAGTGAGAAACAAGGGCAGAGGAGTCTACAGCAGTTGCAGAAGGAGTAGCCACAGTATGAGAGATGGAGAGACGCAACAATTGTTCACTAACAATGTCGTATGTAGGAATAATAGGGGCAGACAAAATCTGATTACGGACAGACTCTAGTTCAGGAGGAAGACCAACAAGAATCATGAAGTACTGGTTTCGCTATTTCTCAAAGGTCGCCACATCAGAGGGATAAGGCATTAAATTATTGTAATCAGCAATTAGACGGTCAAGCTTACTCAAATATGTCTGTATGTCCCTATTCTCAAGCTTGGTGGTCATCATAGTGGTGATGACGTTGTAAAGACGTTGAACATTATTAGCGTAAACTTTCTTGGCCTTGTGCCAAACATCGTAACATGTGTCGAATGCTTGATAAGAATGTTGAAGGTTCGGAGCAATAGAAAACCAAATAACCGTACATAGTGAGGCATTAATTTGTTGCCACTAGCCACGTTTATCAGTAGCAATTGTAGAAAAATGAGTGGTTAAGTGGCAGCACGTCCTTGATCATGAAACCAAAGCTGAACCGTAGCTGCCCAAGTGGTATAATTTGCTGCTCCGGTCAACTTCTCACACGGAATCGGAAGGATGTTGTTAAATGTCGTAGTCAAAGTAGAAGCAACCATGAAAGATGAATATCAGCGGTGACCGGAGGTCAGTGACGGCGACGGCGGTCGAGGGCGGCGGCCGGCGGCAGTGGTCAGAAGCGGTGGTCGGAGGTGGGTGAGAGCCTTTGCAAGAAGAGAGAAAAAAAAATTCTAAAAGAAAAACCTAAGCTCTAGATACCATTTTGTGATTCAGGAATTGTGTGAGTTGAACACACATCAATCTTATTTATAGAGAGAATACAATAAATGATAAAGATACTAATCTCTAGTATTATGGAAACTAATCTAATCATATCCCTGATTGATAATGAGAATAATAACCATAATATCTTTATCCACAATATCTGTAACACTAATATTGGGAAGTCACCTTAATTGCACTCACTCCTACCTGCTTTAGTTGTGGCCCTTTTCTGAATTAATTAAAGCCTCAAAGATGGTGGTTTAGTTTTACATTGATTAGAGATATGCTTAAATTGAACTTATAAACTTTGACAATTCTCACCTTACAAGTCGATTTTATAATGTTAAGTCCTGAGCTAAAATTCTACGATTATATCAAAACTTATTTTAGATTCATTATTGGGTCACCTGCATTTGTATTTTGATTAGTTTAGGGAGCTGTTTGGCGAGCTTCAAACAATAGGAGGTTTACTAGTTTCTACGCTTGACTTATAGTGGGAGGGATTTCTTGATTTTTAGCCTTGATCAAATTATACTAATTTTGGCCACATCTCTTAAGGACCTAATCTGATGCCATTTCCATTTGAAATATGTTGTAGGAAGCCCGAATTGCTGGCTGTGTAACTGCTGCTGATGCTTATCGATTTATTGAACAAAAGAGGACAAAGGAAGCTGAATCGAGTGCCTGTAAAGAAAGTGGTCAGATTGGAACAAGTGCCAAGACATTACTGAGGCCAAATTATCTCAAAGGAGAACTTGATACTAGTCCGCGGGGCCTTCAAAAGGGGACTTCAGCTTTATTTGCTGGTGCCAAGGATTCACCTGCTGCCATACAAACCATCACAAGGTCGCTAGAAGAGTGGGATATCAGTGGATTTGCTGGGGCTGAATTACTATCCGAATCTGTGAGAATTCTATCCTTGTTTGATTTCTACGCTGCTGTTCTCTTTCTTTCAGCTTTCATTGGCTTTTTTATTTTTTATTTTTAAATTTTTTGGAGGAGAAGGCTATGTACATCAGACCCTTCCTACACCCCAGAATAGTGGGAGTTTTGTGTACTGGACTTTGATGGAAGGAGTGTTCTATCTGATTGGTTCTTTGTAAATGATTAACGTGCAGGAGAAAAAGCTTTGTAACGAGATCAGAGTTCTACCGTCGCACTATCTCAACATGCTGCAGACCATGTCATCCGAAATTTCAAAGGGCAATGTGACCAATAAATCTGATGCACGTACACTGTTTAAGGTAGAGCCAAGCAAGGTGGATAGAGTCTACGATATGCTTGTGAACAAAGGAGTTGTGCAAACATAGTGAAATGCTATGTAATGGTTATAAAGCCACTTTTTTACATTTTTCTTCGTCTTCTCCTTTCTCCCATTAAGATATAATTAGATAAACACCTGTGTGATATGCAAAAACAAATGATTATATTATATTATTAAGATTTATGTGTCTGTTGTTGGTAGACAGTACATCCAATTGTGGCATTTGTTCATTAGCAATCATTTCATTTGCCCTGTAATGCATACTAATTAAATGTAAAAAAACGATATCAAACTTTAAAATGTTACTATCTTATTTTACGGAAGAGTTGAAAGGAGAGGACTTTTATATATTTAATGGCATAATTTTTTTTATCTAAAATGATTATAATAATGACAACAAGATTCAAACTTAAAATCATGTATGTATTATTTTAACTCTTACCACTAACAAAGCAACTAGGACCTTTGGCCACAAACAAAATTTTCAAATTACACTTTAATGAAACACTCTATGGAAACATGAAAAATACGTAACATAAACACATTTTATAAATAAAATCTTTGTGAAGAAAATATAAACACTAGAAGAGGGGGGTTAAATGGTGTGTATCAAAAATTCGCAAGTTTTTTACAGTGAAGTAGTAATGCTAGTTAGATAAAGTGTAAAGAGTAGTCAAATGGAATATTAAGTATTTTTATATCGGTTTATCTCAACCATCAAAATTATGTCTAGTTCTCAAATCAACCAAATTGAATTCTACCATCTTTCAACAAAGATATAATTATTCTTTTAACAAGTTACTTCTAGCTCAATCTTAAGTATCATGTGATTTGTCTCTTCAAACAACTATTTAAGTATTCCTTTAACATGTCTCTCCAAGTTTAATAAGCAAATATTCTTTTCAACCAAATCTTTCCAGATTTAAACAAGTATTATTTTTTTGACAAGTCTCTTTAGACTTAATCTTATAACAATGGTTATAAAGATTACACAGATATTGTATTCGTCTCACTTAAACATTATACAATTAATACAAAGTAGTAAGTTTTTACAAAAAAGAATAAGTATGATTTACAAAAAGTGTTTCTTTGTATATATTTTTGTACAAGTCATTTCTATATATTGTGTGTCACTCCTTTCTTGAGCTTTGAATCTTCTTATATAGTAGTTTGGAGAAGATGACCATTGTACACTTTAAGTCCAACTCACAAGTTTGTTTCATCTATCTTTATCATCTTTTCTTGTGATGGCAAGTAACTACTTGACTCATTCAATGCAAGCTTTAAATGCATTTCACCAAATGGTACATTTTATCCGATCAAGGAGACTACTTATCAATTTTTCATACCAAATGGAGCTTGTAGAAACAATGTCAACATAGTGCACAAGAATCATGACTTTATTTGCTATTCTCGTGATTTTAGGAATCTTCGTCCTTGGTCTTGACAGAAAGTATGATCTTATTCTCTTTAACAGATTTGTAAGTTCCAAGATGGTTTTCTAGTTCGATTTGTTAAGGAATGAAGTATTCAAAACAAATTTTATCATTAGTCTTAATAAATAATGAACATGAAACAAATTGTATGCTTCGTCTAATTTACTATGTTTTACAAACGATCTACGTCTTACATTTTGTCTAATAAACATTTTTAAACATATTTTCAAAGATGTTTTTTAAGACATTTTCTCCTATAATAATGTTTCATTTGTTAGCATTAAAACTATAAAGTTTGAGAGATCTAAGACCATCTTTTGACTTAATAATCTCACTTCATAAGTAAAAAATAATTTACATCGTATGTTATACTCAATAAAGCTATAATGTTTATTAATAAAATAAGTTATGGATAAGGAATATAAATAGGCATAAAATTTCCTTTAAAAGTTTTCAAAAGAAGCCTAAAAAGTTAAGCATCATAAAAGAAAGTTCCAATATAAAATAAGGTTCACACAAAGCAATTATAAGCAAAATGAAGCATAAACTAGTCCTTTAAACCCTGATGTCACACTAATCTGACTAGTCCTATCAAAGTAAAATAAAAGCCTAAGTTTCATTTTCCATATGCTCAAATTCATATTCTTGATCTACACTTACAAGTATTCATCCCAAGTAAGAAACACAATACAACTTAGAAGGGGTGAGAATATATCTTACATATGTATAAGCACATATAATGAAAATAGTTAGTATCTAAACACAAACAACAATAATTCAAGCTCATACACATTCACGTCATAAGAAACATATGACTTATGCTCTTAATTCTACATGTAAATTTTACCAATCATACATCACACAAGTAGCACACATACAAAATAGTCTAGGGATATATGAATAAGAAAAATGACTACCATACAATGAGTAATCAACACACAGTCCATTCTCACTATAACAAAATCTACCGAGGGCTAGTTGAGGTATCACAACTGTGCATGGTTACCTCTCATCCCACTCAAATAACATGTTTTTCATGATAACACCCCCAAAGCTAAGGTAGAAGACAATATAAACCCTTTCACATAGAGTCAAATCCACCTCCAAATAAGTTAGGCATGAATGCATGGGCTCCAAATGCATTACACACTTATCGCATTGCTAAGTCAAGCTTAGACTTTCACTCGGCTAGACTATTGTTTCTAGACTCAACAAATTACCAAGATAACCTATATTTCTCATAGCTAAACCATTACTCAAACTTAACTCATATCACACATAAGTATCTCATATCATGTACATCACACATAGGTACAAGGTCTCAAACACAAGATCTCAAGCATAGTTTCACACCCTCATCATAACTCACTCATAAATGTTATCTCTCACACTTTCTTTTTCTTAATTATTGATATAAGTATCTCAAACCATTCCTATGATTAAGCACTCAAGGATAGAAAATTCATCATTACCACTCATAAACTGTCTTTTTGTATCTTAAACTTTTATGACCTCGTGTGATCTAAACTTAACATCTAGAGCTATACATATGTTATCAAGTTGATCTTAATTTTGTTAGAAAGTTAAAGACAATTATCTATAACTTCTAGATTTACCTCTAAGGTTGGTTTTTCCATTTACTATACTTGAAATTCCATTTGTACAAAGTTGGGAAATCACATCTAACTCAATTGATAGGCACAAAAGTTCCATCTCTTCTCTCTATTTTTGCATAACAAAGACTTAATAACATATAAGGTACTCCTATAGCACATGATACTTGAATAATTCACTTTAGTTGCAATAACAAAACACATGATAGAGCACAATCCAATATAATACTTAACAAATTTGTAAAAACACAGTCATATCCATAACAATTAATCAATAATGTCCACAAATTCATCAAACACATTAAATGATACCCATGGAGGCTTAGGGTCCACTTACTACCTATAGTCATTATACAAGCCTATGTGGAGAGACAATCCTACTCCTTTTAACTCGAACAATGATCTCTAATGCATGCGATGTGATCTCACACCTCTAATCCGATGCATGTGGTGCGGTCCCTCGTCTCCAAACATTGCTCATTTCTTCTCAAAGTTATCTATAGGTTCTCTCTAAGCATGAAAAGCCAAAAATAGAAACTATGAAAATATGTGACTTTAACTCCTTCTATTTAACTATTTAAGTCTACACTGTGGTTGGACTTATGCAACCAAACCCACTAACTCAACACACTTAACATAATATATCTACTTTATTTAAAAAAAGACTTATTTATTTTAAAAGTCTAATTAACCAAATTAAGAAAATAAAATAAATTATATATTAAACTATATTATTTTATTTACAGAAAATAGGATGTTGCAGAGATCAAGATGTATTATAATTGTAGGTAATGTTGTCATGTGAGACAATATAGAGAATTTTTAAATTTGACATGCATTATAGAGAAATTGTTGTGAAAAAGTTATCATTACATTTAGTTGGACTACAATTTGTTTTGTACAATATGAATGACAATCTTCAACAGGTTCTTGATAAATCAATAAGGAAGAGATTTTTTTTTTCATGGATGGATGCAAACAAAAGATATCTTGAAATAATCTTTTGTATGTGTTTTCTTCAAAAATTTGTTCAGAAAAAAATGTGAAAATCACAGGTGTCCTTGATAAAAATAAAAAAAAGTTGTATACTTGAAAGACTACAATTTATTCCTCCAAGGAGTGGAAAATTTATATTATTTGAGAATATTATCAAATTGTTTTAGGAGATTATACTCGTACTCAAACATCAGAATAGTTAAATAATGTGAAAGGCAATTTCTCAAACATGTTGCATTTTCACATTGTGATGTGAGAAAATCGCAAGTGTACTGTTGTTATGTACGTAATAAATCATCAAATCCATAGGGACTACATTTTTTATTACCTTGTAATTATTAATAAATTTAAACAAATAAAAATAAAATTCATAATTAAAGAATAAGTTTAGAATAATTAAGATTAATTGTGAATGAAACAAGAATTTTAATTGATTAAGGGATTTCTAGGAATTAGCGTTCGCTCAATGAGTTCCTTTATATTCAAATGATTTTACCTAAATATTTAATTATTCTTATTGAAAGTAAATTAACCTAAGGTGTCCTTAGCAACCCTCTCAAGATACGAAGGCATATTTAATGGAATTAACTCCTATTCTCATGATAGTTATATTCAATTAAAACCATTATGACCTATGCTAATTTAGTTGATCTTCAAAGGATTAAACCTAATCTCGTGGTTTAAAACTTAAGTTTATTACTTTAGGTTCCAATATTTAGGTTTACTTCTAAATACTTCCCTAAACATTTAAGTGAAAAGCGATAACTAATTGATTAACATATATAATTTGTAAAGAAATAAGATCGAAGATAAATAATAATTAAATAACTAAATATTCAAATTAACATATACAATTCTCAAGGGCTAAGCCCTTATCCCAAAAAAAGAGGGAGTACTCACACATGTTCATAGTAGTTCTCCCAGAAGAAAAAAAAAATAACATAAAAAGAATCGAACCTAAGAATTAGAGGAACTCTAACACAAATTACTCCTCTTCAATCTATCTATCAAGTGTGAAATCAAAGGTATCCTTTCTAACTCCAAAAAAAATCTAATTTATAAACTAGAAAAGCCTACAAGATAACTCAAAATGAAGCTCTAATGATAAGATAAAATAAGATATTCTAAAAGATAATTTTTGACAATAGGACCATGTCACAAGTATGACTAATGGGCACGACTATGACACATTCGACCTTTGATTCTTCTCTTCTATTGTTGGGTTGGTCATGGGCATGACTGGTGGGTCACAACTGTAACCTCTTATGTCTTTGTTTCTTCTTCTTTCTTTCAAAGCAATCATGGGCGTAACCCTCCGGTCATGACTGTGATCCTTTTCTAACTTGTCTTTTTCTCCTCTTTTCTTATCTTGCTTCATTGATCTTCGACGATGAGGAATAATATTTTTACCTAATTTATGCAAATAACAAAGAAAAGTAGAATGCAACGAGTGTAAAAGGAAAAACTAAACTTAAAAACAATTCCTATAGTAATTATGTTATATAATGCATGAATGTACTTCTATTTAGCTGAAACTTAAGACAAAAGCATAAGAGAATATTGCAAAAGATCACATTGTCAATTGTATGATATAATATTAAGGGTTACATCTTATTTTAAATTAAAAATTTCCATATGAAACGATGTGGGTCATGTTACAACCGCAACTTCAAATGTAGTTTACAGACAAGTCTTCCAAAATTTGATTTAGGTATTTGTTATTTTTTTAATGAAAAAAAAATAGGCTTTAATTATAACCATGTCATCTCAACTGCTTAATCGTTTTTTTTCCTTTTGCAATCTTATCATTCTGATCCATGACAAATGGACAACTATTTTTCTTCGGCTACCATTTGAATGGATGCTACAATAAATGAATTTTTATGTGCTGAAAGTTCTTTATATATACAAAAAAAATACAAAGTTCTGTTTTTTTTAATTATAATTTTTATCCAAATATATAATTTTGAAGTTGGTGCTAAAATTACCGCTATTTAGTTCTAGAAGCACATTCATATTTTGCTCAATTTATTTTTAGTTGAGTATACTAGCACATTGTAATTTTCTTTTATTTTGTTTGAATTTTAATTTTATTTGTAATGAAGAAATATGAGCTTTTGTTTTTGTTTATTTTTTTTTTATACATCTAAGGTGTTTGTTGAAATACGGTGAAGTGAAGGGTATTTATATTGCTAAAATGAGTTTGATTGTAAATGGTTATCACAAGGCATATTGGTGATCTTTTAAAACCAAATACTTGGAGTGATAATATTAATTCATCTTCCACGCACTTTGTTGGAATACAAAATTGATTGTTTATAACCTATTTCATAAGTGTCGTACATACAAAATTGGTTATAAGTATAAATGATTTGGTAGGATACTTTTAATTGAAAGGATTCAAAAACCAATTTTAAGAGTATGTCCCTACAATCGGTGGGAGCAACATCGATTTTCAATCCAAAACCGATTTTGTAGTCTAAACACAACTGATTTGTATCTCTTTCTCTTACTAGAGACAAGTTAGACCAAAATAGAGTGTGTTGGGTTTTTAGTTTGAGAAAGGTAAAAGTTCGTTTATTTGGAAGTTTCTTTTCATATATTTTTCTGTTTAGTTGTCTAGGAATGAATACTACTAAGAGCATCTACAATGGGAGTTGCTTATAAGTAACTCCCAATCACTTTAAATGGGTCCTACTGTGCCACGTCACTCATAAGCAACTCATACTATATTTTTATAATTTTTGTTCCAATGAAAATTGCTTATAAGCACTCCTACTTTTTACAACTTATATTACACTTTTTGACACCTCACACTACATTTTATAAAATTTGGTACAGTTAATAAGAGTTAAGCAACGTTGCTTGCTGAAGCTCCGTTGCTAAAAAATAAGCAACTTTCTATGTCAGCTAGGACTACTCCAATGGGAAGTGCTTCTAAGCACTGGAGCTTATTTTTAAGGGACAGCATAAGCACCTCCCGTTGGAGGTGCTCTAATAAAACAAATACACACAGAGTAAGTATAAAAGAATTTCAAATTCTTATTTTTTTAAAAAAAAATTAAAATTTTACTATTTGAACTAATCAAAATTTTTACTGAAATTTCAATTTTTCTTAATTTTCCATCCAAACAAATTGCATTTCAAATTCACTAAAAATAAATGTTTCACCCTCATAAAATTCTCTATCAAAATATACTGTAAGATTTTGAATATATAAGTCAAACATTTTATCTATTTTCTATTCAATATTAGACAATTAATTGTATGAGATATACATTTTAATAAAAAAAAATAATGATATATAATTAGATACTGTCATTTTATATGCGTCACTAATACTTGTGATTTTTTTTCTATCTCTTTTATTATTATATCATATTAACTATCCTATTTATATTTTTCTCTTTTCTTTCTTTCTCTTATAGACCTCAAAATAGATTGTTTGAATGTACAAGAATCAGTTTTAGTTTAACATTGGGGGACAGTTAAATTTTTTTAGTTAAATAATTTAATAGATAAAAAAAAATCCATCGATTAAAATAATCCATCCAACCCAAATGTCATATTCTGTTTTTATAAATATATGAATTAGTTTTAACTTTACCATGAATGAATAGGTTGAATCATTGATTAACGATTTATTTTGGCAACCCTACCCTCTTAGGGTAATTCTGTTTTTAATATAGGGAACATCCTTTTACTTTACATAAAAAAATATGGCATCGGAGTGGGAGAGGTAGTGCCATGTGGTGAGCTCAGATATCTGCACATGGCTTCTCTTATTTCTAGCTTTTAAACAGTAACAAAATAATTAAATATTCTGGGAAGCCAGGGTTTAACTGGATGAATTTATTAAGAGAATCAGTGAGACGGTAAGCCAGTGAACTGTTGTTAGAATAAATAAATTAACTCGTTTTGGTTTTTTTAATTCAATGCAGCACTTGGGAACTGTAAATCTATCTTAACGCAAGCCACTTGCCAGTACTAGGCATTGTGAAAGAAACAAAAACCATTGTTTTTACTTGCTCCCTTCTTGCAAACCACTTTAGTCTCATCTTTGGAAATCTGGTTGTTGCTTTAACGTTGCTTAGCATGTTAACAAGTGAAGAAACTTGCTCTTGAAAACCCTTAAGCCTTAGTCATGAATTTCTCTTTCTGTTGTCTGAGAAGCTGCATCTCAATCACTGAACTGCCAATGTTTTTGCACTTGCTATCACAAATGTTCCTTCCTAAGTAAAAAAAGTCCTCTTTATTATTTTACTAATTATTTATTTTTCTTCATCTGCTTTTTCTCCTTTGATAACACTTTTGTGGGGGGTCATACTCATAGTCATAGCTAAATAGGCTTTTTGAAATTGATGGGGTGGTGGAAAAGCAAAGTAGCACACCAAATGCTTTCATGTTTTTGCATATTCATCAGGAATAATGTGACCCCCTCATGGATCATGGCTCCTCTTGCTCTCTTGCTGCTTTTTTCCAGTTACAAACTGGTGGTGGTGGGATACATGTTCTTCTCTCTCCTCTTCACATCTCTGGCACTGCTTTTCTCCACTCTTCTCTACATGTGGAAACACAAGGCAGTGGTAGTCGTTGAAGGAAACTGTTTGAGTTTGAGTTCTGAGGAGAAGAGAGCGCAAAGTATTGTTATTAAGAATGAAAGTGTGACACAAGCAAAGGAAAGTGAAGAAGAACAAGACAGTGATGATGACTCATCTGCACCATCACTAGATCATAAGATATCAGAGAGTGAATGTCAAGATGTGTTGTTTTTGTCCACTTGTGAGGACTATGATGAAGTAGATCACACACCTGATGAGTGCTCAGATGGGACAATTTCTGATGAGGACAGCCTCATAGAGATTGCACTTCCAAGTGGACACTTTGTGGGTCATCATCACAAGGAAGAGTCCTGCAGTTTGCAACAGAAGAAGAGGGAGCTTTCAGCTGAGGCCCTTTTCAACCAACAAAGCCTCATGGAGTTCTTGGCAGAGTTTAATGAAATGAATGAGGAAGAAAATTTGATAGAGATTGACATAGCCATGGGTTCTATCAAGTGCTCAAGGTTTGAAATAGAGGCATAAATAAATATGCTGTTTCATCATATATCTGTTACCAAAGTTTTTCATCCACCTTATTCTTATATCTGGTTGGATTTGGGATTGTGTTTCTTAATGTTACTTGTGTTACAAAGGCTAGGCTTGTGTTGTGCAGTGTGAAGCTTCTGTTCCTCACAAGCTTTGGATACTCATTAAAGTGATTGTATTATGACTTTTCTTTTTGACTTCATAAAAGCAATAATATGAATTAAAGTTGAACAAAGCTGGACCCAGTTAACCGAAATTCCACTCGCTAGCTACCAATTGCTTTTCTCTTTTCACTCCTAATCCATTTTTGCTTATCAAAAGACAAGTTTAATTTATATTAAATTGAATATTATTCTATTTATTTATATTTTCTTTTGTAGCTTGAAACATAAAATCCGCTGAATCTCATACACCAACACTGATCAGTAGCTACATGGATCACTGAATTTCAAAACCTAAGATAGCCGGTAGAATTAAATGCAAGTTAATTAATGGCTAAAATTAGTTTATTTTTTGCCACTTGTATAATAATTTAGGAGTTTTGTGAATATCAGTAAGTAGTAGGTGGGACTAAAGGTAAGTTAATTATACTTAGTAGCTAAAATTAGTTTACTTTTGTCACGTGTTTATTTAATAGTTTAATATATCACAGGGCTGTTCAACAACTACTTGCACTGAATTATGGATGATTCTTCATGTTCTGAAAATAGGGCGGGTTAAAGACTAGCTTGGCGCGTAAAATTTTCTCATTTATGAAATATGATTCGAAAGTCCATCAAGTGTAACTCCTTAGATGATGCTCAAGCTACTAAAATAACACAATAGTGTGTGTTCATTAGTCCGTAATATATATCCCACAAATCTGATAATATTTCAAATTAAAGTGATAAAAAGTAAATTACTACTCTATCATTACTCTTATATTTCTACTGATTAGAAAGAACTACAAGAAGTTATAAATTGAAAAGATAAAACTAATATTGATATTTTCTTATTGAAACTTCAAAAGTTAGAGGATACAAATTTAATACTTAGTAATAGCTTTAAAGGATGATCTTACAAGTCTCACAATTTTACTTTAAGAAAATAAAATAATATTAAAATTAAATATAATAATGTTTTAATATTTTAAGACCATCATATGAAGTCCTAGCTAATACTATTTAATTTCCTTTTTTATTTGAGCCTAAAACCATCCTAACATTACACATAAAATCTTCTCTTGAAAAGTTTTGAGAGAGAAATGATATTGGCTGTGTATGTGTTGGGTGGCTGAGATCGTGGAAAGAAAAATTGGGAATCTAACGGTTGTAGGAACGCCTTAAAAGCCACCACATGGCAATGGGTGTGTGTAGTTATAAGTAAGCAAACAAGTTGCTTAGACCGAACATGCAGCAAAGAAATTGGACTGGTCACTCAATCATTAATGGAAAGCAACTTGTGAGAAATATTGGAACGACAAATTGAGTCTAAGGGTGGGGAATTATCTCTTTTGCCTTGGGGGGAGGGGGAGGGTGTTTTGGGTTTGAAGGGTTTTGGACAGTGGGTTTTTTGGTGTATTAATGGGGAAATTTTGGGGAAAAATTGAGAGGGTGCTGCGAGAAGTAGGATAAAGAGGGGCTGGTGAAGTGGATGGGAGTTGCTCCAATAAGGCAAAAATGTCATGCATAGTTTGTTGAGACATGAGATACTGTGAATCTTCTAGTTGTTGTTGATAGGTTTTGAAAAACATAAAATCTCACATTATTGGATTACAACAAGAAATAAATGTCTATAAAAGATATATACAATTTCTATTGATAATAAGTTTTTTCAAAAATGACTAAAAGTAAAAGTAAAAACATGATAACTTAGATTTAAAGTAAATAATATCATACTAATGTAAAAATATTTGTGTGTGTGTGAATTCTTAATGTTCAATAATAAACAAGCTTAATTTGCAACACATTTAATTTATTGGAGATGACTTGGAGGTGGTCCTGCACGGGAGGCATAGTAAACAAGATGAAATAAAAAGTAAAATACTACTCTATCACTATTCCTATATATTTATACCATTAAAGAGCTACAAGAAGTTATAAAAAAGATAAAACTATCATTAATATTTGTCATTGAAGCCTTCAAAGGCCAGAGGGAAAATTTATAACCTAATATAACAATCAAGGATGACCCTACAAGTGGATCATCCTATTTTAAGAAAATAGAATAATATTAAATAAAATACAATAATATTTTAATATTCTAAGAGCATTCTATGAAGTCCTTAAGCCATTTAATTTACTTTTTTTTAGCTATATAGCTCATCCTCACATGAAGCAAATTAATTGATTTAGATTTTTTTCTTGTTTGGGTTGGACCCAAGCCAAATCAAATATTGAATTATTGAAATTCAATATTGATTGATTCAAGTACTGAATTTCCACTTTTGAAATTCAAAACAAATAAACTATTAGTGCGTTATTATTTTTTATTTATTTATTTACATAGTAATTTGACTATGTAGTTAGACAATTAAGCGTGAATTTGACTTTTATTAGATAATTTGGTGTATGTTAAAAGCATTGATTTTTGTTGGTTATTTTAGTTAATTTTTATTGTTATTATAGATAAAGTAGTATCATTTAATCAATTATTCATGTGTTATTTTTTTATTTTATGTTATTATTTAATGATTGAGAGTCAACTACACTCAAATGTGTAATTTACATTTTTTACAATATTATCTATCAAACTTGATACAAAATCATGTTTCTTTTTCGAAACATTTTTCACTTAATTTTTTTCATTCGATATTCGATGAATCGAACCGAATCAACTTGTTTAATATTGAGTTGATTTGACAAAAAAATATTAATATTCTTAAAGTCTAAACTAAATTGAATTGATTAAAATTAATTTGTTATTTTTAAGTTATATTACTAGTTCAAAATGGAAAACGTACTATGTGCTAAAATTGCAACATCGGTTTGCAAAACACTAGATGGCTTATAATGATTTTCAATAATGTTGGTTTTAGTGAAGCATATTGTTTTACTTTGAAATAATATTCTTTAATGGGTTATCTAATTTAGACACTTAAATTCTTTTATCAAATTAACAAAATTAAATGCAGCAAAGTAAAAGAGAAGGATAGAGAAGATAGATACAACATATTTATACTGGTTCACACTAAATCTAGCATTACATCCGGTTATCACTTTACGTACTAGTGAAATTTTCACTATAACCAAACATCACCTCTAATAGTTGATCACACAACAACCACACCTTGTTATTAATAAAACAGAGCACACTCCCTTTCAAAAACACCCAAAGCAGATGCACTCAAAGTTCACGCACTAAATCCTTGACCACAACACTTCTTAGGTCTTGGTCAGGATACCCAAAATACAAATAACAAGTTTATATTTTGTGATTTGCATAGGCTACAAGATCACTCTTTCCTATAGAGGTTTTCTTTCAAGAAATTAAATCTCACTTCTTTTTGTTTATACAATGAACACTTTGGTTGTAATATATAGAAGTGGGTCTCTATTTTTCAAAGAGGGGTGATGCGGAAAGTAGGTTTTCCTCAACAAAGGCTTTAAGTATGAGCTACACTATTTTTCTTGCTTTAGGGAATCGTAATGTTCTTTAAGACTTCCCTTAAATAAGATGGAAAATATCTGTTAAGATTTGAAGACATGATAGAGGTAAAAAGTAACTATTGAAAATTAATTGTCAACCAGATGTTGCATAAAATTAAAGATGCATTTAAAGGTAAATGCATCTTATTGTGGTAGTAAAAATGGGTAGAGTTTAAATATCACATTCAAAGAATTAGGTTCAAACAATTATGGACCTAATTGTGATTTTTAGTATTTTGAAAAAATAGAAATTAAATTGAGTGTGACATTAAAATATAAAATAAGAAAGTGTTATAAGATTCAACAGTAAAAACCTTAAAGTTGTGACTTGTCATCCTTGATCCTCTCCAAAAATGAATTTCACAAATTCCAATCTTTTGCCTCCAATTTTACTTTTAAATTTGTTAAAATAACCTTTATTCAAGGAAGTTAACAGTCTTTGCCTTAAGAAAAACTCAAATTAATTGTAAGAAGATTATTTGTAAAACCAAAGCATAAAAACGTAGAAGTGAATTGATAAATTAATTCAATTGGAAACCAAGAAAACTAGCTTAATCATGCAAATTTTCAAAGTTTGATTATTTTAGGATTTTATTAAATAAAAGAGTATGAGTATGCACTTTTAATTAAAAGACATAGGAGTGAAAAACACTAAAATAATACAACAACAAACAAAAGAAATTCATTCAATTAATCATTGAAGCTTCACGAGAAATAATTACATCACAAACATAGAATAAGAAAACTAGCCAAACATGTAGGCAAATAACCCAACAGTATACTAGAATTCATAAAACAAGACAAAAGAACTATTCAAGAGTGGAATAAATCTTGTCTGAGAATTTGACTTTTAGTCTTTTATAAAACCTTAATGGGGAACAAAGAGAAAAAAAAAAAAAGAAATTCTAAAGACTAAAACATAAAATAGGATACTAAAAACATAGTATAAACATCCTTATTATTAGGTAAAATTACGAAAAACTTAGCTCGATCGTACATCTCAACAAGTACAACCATACTTAATAATAAGGTGAGCTTATCAAAAAGGACATTCTTTTTTCCGACAGGGGGTGCTTTAAAGGGAAGCACGACCATGCATATCAGCAAGTATGACCATGTTTGGTGAAATGGGCATGCTTCCTCAACAGTAAGTGTGTGCTTCCTTAGTAGAAAGTGTGTGCTTCCTTAACTAGGGAGTGTATTCAAGGGAAGCACAATCGTGTGTATTAGCAAGCACGACCGTGATTTATAGAACAAGCATGCAATCTTCAATTAGGGGTGTGCTTCTCTTGAAGCACGGTTGTGCTATAGGCAAGCACAATCGCACCTAGATTTAAAGTTTCAATTTTGTTCCAATTTGTCCCTTGAGTGCATTATTTCCTTGTTATTGAAAGTATTTTTCCCATTTGTTACACATTTACAAAAATCTAATAGAAATCCAACTCAAAATTAAGCTACTAATTTTAAAACAGTCTCCATGTCACA